CAATCAAACGCTTCGAAGCATTTATAGCGCCAAGTGGACCACACCCCTAATAGCATTTTCGGCTCGATTGGGTTTGCATCAACCTGGGTTGGATTAATCTTTCCTATTGGTTGACGTTACACGCTCTACCAATAGGAGAGCACAAAACGCCATTAATCCAACCTAGATTGATGCAAACCCAGCCGGGCCGAAAAACGCTATAAGCTTCAATATTAACAAGAACGCGAACTCCCATAAGGATGTCGGTCTTTAATAGTATCTCGTCGGTGGCATAGCACAGGAATTTGGAGCAATTTGAGTTACTTCTCACTTCCTTTGAATTCTTCCACGTTTTGGAGTCATTTAATCGGTATGCATTAATATATCGCATTACACTGTTTCTATTCCAACTCTTTATATAAGATAAATTATTTTAAAATATTATTATAATAATGTTAACATTTATTTCGGAATTATTTTGAAATATACCTTGGAAATTACGAATTGATTGATAGGTTATAAGAGGAATTAACAGCTTATTCTTTTCGAGACAATTAAAAGACAGTCAATGTGACAATTTAATACAATTTCGTTTCTTCGTATTTTTTTTATTTGTTTAGTTTTTATTTAGTTTTTTCTTTCGCTTATTCAAGTTTACTTAAGTGACGTTTAGGAGCAACATTTTTTTTGCCAGATTTGTTCATTTCACAAAAAAAAAAAAACGTATTGATTGGTATATCTTTTATCCATTTTTGTGATTATGTATGCTAAACAATTACCTTATTTTTAAATTTACTATGTATTTTTTGTTTACTTATATTATTTTATACCATATGTTTTATGATTTTCATGATTTTTTTGTATAGTTTATAGTTTTGTCCTATGTAATATATTTGATATATTTCATGTTTCAATTTGTGATAGTCAAACAATTTAAAAAAATTTTTCTAAATTAGCATATCATTATGCCACCCAAAAAATCAATGGAGGAGACGGATCGTTTGACCCGTATAGCGATTGTGAATTCTGATAAATGTAAACCTAAAAGGTGTAGACAAGAATGTAAGAGATCTTGTCCTGTAGTACGAATGGGAAAACTTTGTATAGAAGTTAATCCAAACAGTAAAATAGCAGCCATCTCTGAAGAACTATGTATTGGCTGTGGTATCTGTGTCAAGGTAATTTCATTATAAAATAAAATTGTACAATGATTTCGTATAACGATATAAAATACTTTTGATAAAATTAATATGATGAATAACTTCTATTAAGCTTTGAAATATTTAGAATGATGATGAATCAAATTAAATGAGGTACTCAAGACTGCTTACGTATAATTATTATTTCGAAATATTAATACAAAGTATTAATAATAATATATAATTTTTATTATTGATAATAATGAAAGATCGTTTTTTGTAGAAATGTCCGTTTGAAGCGATATCCATTATTAATCTTCCTAGTAATTTAGAGAAGGAAACAACGCATCGTTATTCTAAGAACTCATTTAAGCTACACAGACTTCCTATTCCACGCCCTGGTGAAGTTTTAGGGCTTGTAGGAACTAATGGAATTGGTAAATCGACTGCCCTTAAAATTTTAGCTGGGAAACAAAAACCAAATTTGGGGAGATATTCTGTATGTGATTGCTATATCATAATACATATAACACATATGTATGTATATATATATATACATATATATATATATGTATGTGTATGTATGTAACTTATTATTAAAATAGACATAAAGCAATAGCATGTAAAGCTTTTTTATTCAAATAGGATCCACCAGACTGGACAGAGATTTTGAGCCATTTTAGAGGTAGCGAGTTGCAAAATTATTTTACAAAAATTTTGGAAGATGATTTAAAGGCTCTTATTAAACCTCAATATGTTGATCAAATTCCTAAAGCTGTGAAAGGTACCGTGCAGCAACTTTTAGATAAAAAAGATGAATGCAAGAATCAGATGGAAATTTGCGAAATGCTCGGTAAGTACGAATTTTTATCTTTTTTTGTATCATTGTTTTGTTAAGATTGATTTAGGACACTGGAAGAAAAATTTTGATAATCTCTGTTCTATACTTTCATTGATACATATTTTTCTTAGATTTGCTGCATATACGTGATCGAGGCATCGAAGCACTTTCTGGTGGTGAACTTCAACGGTTTGCTTGTGCAATGGTATGCATCCAGAATGGAGATATTTTTATGTTTGATGAGCCTTCTTCTTATCTAGATGTTAAGCAGCGCCTCAATGCTGCTGTGACTATTAGATCTCTTATTCATCCGGACAAGTAAGTATCTGTAAAAAGATTAATTTTTATTAAATTATTAATATATTTATTATTTGTTTTAATATATCAGGTTCATAATAGTCGTGGAGCATGATTTATCGGTTTTGGACTATTTATCTGACTTTATTTGTTGCCTATATGGAGTTCCTGGGGCATATGGAGTTGTTACCATGCCTTTTTCCGTAAGAGAAGGGATAAACATTTTCCTTGATGGGTTTGTTCCTACGGAAAATTTACGATTTCGTGAAGAATCTCTTGTATTTAAAGTGGCAGAAAGTGCAACTGAGGAAGAAGTGAAACGCATGAACCATTACGAGTATCCTGCTATGATGAAAACAATGGGAACATTCAATTTGAACGTCGAGAAAGGGCAATTTACCGATTCGGAAATACTCGTTTTATTAGGAGAAAATGGAACTGGTAAAACAACGTTTATCAGAATGCTGGCTGGCAACTTACCTCCAGATGATGGATCAGGTATGCTCATATGTGGGGACGTACAAGTACACGTAGTATTTGTCATTGGCAGTATGACTACTTAAAAAACAGTGTAAATTCTATATATGAAATTTTCGATTAAATAAATGGGATAAAATAAATCTTTATTTATGTGATGTTTTGCGACGATGTCTTTTTTTTGGTTCAATTTATTTCTTAAATGTTATTTATCAATAATTCTAATAGACTGTTTGATATAAATTATGTTAATGAAATTGCTATCTTGCAGAAAGTATTCCTCAACTGCACATCAGTTATAAACCACAAAAGATAAGTCCCAAATCTCAAGGTATTGTCAGGCAGCTGTTACATGAGAAGATCCGAGATGCATACGTGCATCCTCAATTTGTAACTGATGTAATGAAACCTTTGAAGATTGACGACATCATGGATCAAGAAGTGCAGAATCTTTCTGGTGGAGAGTTACAACGAGTTGCACTAGCTCTTTGTCTAGGAAAGCCAGCTGATGTTTATCTAATTGATGAACCATCCGCGTATTTGGATTCCGAACAACGTTTAGTTGCTGCAAAGGTCATCAAGAGGTACGTAATAAATAAATATTCTTTTTAGAAAAATATGAATGCATTAGAAAAATGCATACTAAAAATAATTTATCTCACTTCAGCATATACAATAGCCAAGAAGGAGACTTGGTTTACAAAACTTTTTTTTATTCTTAATCCTACTCATCCATCCATATCTCTCATACGCGTTTTACTTATACCTAAACTTACAATATTTTATCTTTCTATCCACCCTTAACTATTATTCCTTTTCCTTTGTCTTAATTTTTTTGTCTTTTTTTATTGTATTATCACTGTATTCGCAGCTTACCCAGCTAACACTAAATACTTCTGAAATGTTCATAAAATGTTCCTAAAATCTCAAAATAACATTTCA